ATGCAAACCAGACGTGGCACAAAACATTTCAGGTGCAGAAGCAGCTCGCCATGCTGCGCCGCAGCACACTGCTAAAGATAGGATCGGGTTCTATTTTAGCCATGAGCTGCTTCTGGAGCACATGGATTTCCACAGTTAACATATAGGGCTGACAGGGTTTCAGTGTAAAATGTCCTATAACTTTCAAAATAAAAGACTATTGCAGAGATGTGATTTCTTACATCAAAACGTGACCTAACAGCTTATTTGCTCCCAGCATTGGTTGAGAAGTGTAGCAGTGTGCTTTAAATGGCTTTAATCCTGGCAACATTATGTATGACATCAAACTGTTACATAAAGTGTGATCTCTGTCTTCTTCTTGTGGTTTAATGGCAGAGTCTAGCAAGGTGATATGCAGAGAAGAAGCTCCAAGGCTTAGACTCCACCCATGTGGACTGACGCACCCCGAAGCACGCAAGTAAATCGCCCGGCTGCCGTTCCGCGCTGCTGATGCCCCCCAATGTGGACCCAGCGTTAGAATGGATAAGACTAATGATACTGATGTAAAAGAAATAAATGACGACAAAGGAAGGTTGTTTGTGAGAGAACCAATTAAAAGCATGCTCATAATTAATATCCTAGCTCAAGATATTCAAGTAAATGTGGACTTGTTCTCATTTGTATTGTAACACTTACAAATTGTTGTTACAAATTTTTACAAGCCAAAATATCTTTAATTATGTGACAGCATAGTCGGGGCGGAAGGCAAAGCAGACCAGAACGTCTTATAACCTCATTCACTTATGTTCATCTTTTTTTTTCATTCAGGTGACCCATGAGCTGAGCAGAAGGGGAGGAGACGTGGGGTCCCTATAGCCTCAAATTTAAAAACACAACTGATGTTATTGATGTGTAATATGAGAACATCAACCAGCAGGAAGCTAGGGCCAAAAAAATAATTCTAATAAAATCAAAATTTTCCTTAATCTTGGACACCCGCCACATAAGACCACATGCAGAAACATCAGCCTAGCATGTCTAAACGTGTGCGGTCTGCTTCATTTGCAGGCGAGCCAAGCTGAGCTCATGCTGCTCCTCATCTCCTTTCTGCAGTTCGCCTTTGGTTTGTGTTTGCAGCTCACGGTTCCCATGGACGCCACATTTTATGACTCCATCCGCCTCATCAATACACACGCTGCATGTGGCGGATGTAAGACTGTGGAGTAATTGTGGTGACGATAGCATTTCTCCAGTCAGGAAGCACAGAACATTGGGATTTGACACAAAGGTGGATTGACAGGTTTGTGCTTAAGGCAAGCAGCGTAAGGAAGGATGACTGTGAGAGAAAGGAGGAGTGGGAATTTGAGGAAAGACATATGCTCTGAGGAAAGTCTGGGATCAGAGTGAGGAAGAAAAAGAAGCAGATCAAACATTATAAGAAAGCTCCTTTAGCCCCAGGGCTGAAACATTATGATAGAGGTAGCTGGAAAGACAAACGCATGTTAATAAAAACACACTTAATAAAAATATATTATTTGAAAGAAAACTATGTGAAATAAACATAAGACTAGTAAAACAAAACAATAATTTTGATAAATATTAAACAGATGGCTTGTAGTATTGGGTATTTGATCTCCGTAAAGATTTCTCATTGAGATTTTGGCACAACATCATAAGAAAAAGATAAATATTCATAAACAGTGTTGTTTCAGCAACATATTTATAGAAAACGTTTCCAGTATTGAGGGAAATGTACGCTACTATTTGTTAGGCTTTTCCGCTTTGACACTTTGAGATTTTTCTCTGGAACAACAACAAAACTGTCAGCGTGAGCCTTCTACTGCAGAGTTGTTACACAAATGTCTAGAGAAGGGCGTATTAACAGAAAATTTAGTATTTGAGCTATTTCCACTGTGGAAACTATTTTAAAAGTTTAGGTCATAGGTCACCCATGCCTTAACCTCGTTTATGCACGTCACCAAATGATAAATGTTAGATGTTTTTTGCCTATTTGTTCTGTGTACATTCATACTTTTGCTGCTTTCATACATTGCAACATTTTACTTTGTTCCATTAAATTATTGCTGTTATAATTAGCTAGAAATAAAATAGTCCCTGTTTTGTTTGTGTAGCAACATACAGGAAAAACATCCTGCACATATTTGGTGTGTTATGTCTCACTTGTATCTCTGCTTGCACATAATTAGCATGAAGAATGGAGTCAGTCTTTATATTAAGAAAAATAAATAAATAAATAAATAAACCACAGCTGCATGGACAACTAACTGTCATCAAGACATATTTCAACAGTCTGATCAAGCAGGAGTTCTGAGCAGGTGTAAAAAAAGCTTGAATTAGATTATGACACAATTCCATAACAGAAGTGTTGTGATCTAGTCATAATCACTTGGTTCTGTAAGATGCACGACTCCAGTTCCGTAGTGCCTATTTTGGTGCCCCAAGGTCTCTGTACTGCATGTTAGATGTTTTCCACACACCTGATTTGAATTGATAATAAAATGATTGATTAGAACTTGGGGACATGCTGAACAGATTTCATCATCTGGACACAAATCCAATCCAAACATGCAGGATAGTGGTCCTCAAGCGCCAGGATTGGACACACACTGCTGTAAATGATAGACTAGAGCTGTCATGGTCTGCGTCTTCCCTCATGTGTTTCCTGATGTTCTCCATCCCTCTCCAGATTCCCCTTTTGTGTCTCATAGCGCCCTCATGTGTCCCTTGTCTGCGTCTCATTTGTGTGTCTTCTGTTTGTAGCCCTTCAGATCATTCCCCTCAGGTCCGGTGTTCATTCAGTCATCCCCAGCCCCTCCAGTTGTTGCTCCAGCCTCTTTGTCCCCAGCTCGGTGTGTGTGTGTGTCATTCCCCAGCTCATTGTATGTGTGTGTGAGTGTATGTGTGTGTGTGTGTGTGTGTGTGTGTGTGTGTGTGTGTGTGCACGTGCGTGCGTGCGTGCATGTGTGCGTGTGTGTGTGTGTGTGTGTGTGTGTGTGTGTGTGTGTGTGTGTGTGTGTGCACGTGCGTGCGTGTGTGCATGTGTGTGTGTGTGTGTGTGTGTGTGTGTGTGTGTGTGTGTGTGTGTGTGTGTGTGAGTCCCTCCCTCAGTCTTTAGGTTTAGTTAGATCCATGTTTTATAGGTTTATGTTTCTGCCCTCCTGCCAAGCTCTTTCCCTGCCCATTTAGTTAATTGATTCCACCAGTTTCTCCTCAGCTCTCACTCCTCACACCTGTCACCTGTTTCCCTGATTACCTTCCTCTGTGTTTATAAGCCTTGTCTTGTCACTGTGGTTGTTGGTTCATTGTCTTGGTCAGCGTTGTTTTGTCTGCAGTCTTCAGTCTTTAGTCTCAGTCTTTAGGTCTCTGCCCAGAAGGTGAGCTTTTGGATTTTGGTCTTAGTTTAGTTATTAGGTTTTTGCCTTCGCCCCTTGGATTTTGGGTTCTCCTCCTAAATAAAGGATTTTTACTTTTCAACCGCTCCTGCCTGTGTGTTCTGGATTTCCTGCACCTTGGGTCCAAACCTCCTGCTCTCAGCGTGACGAGCCAAAAGCACCAAACAGGATTACAGCATTAGCTGAAAAGGTTTTAACAAACTTTTCCGTGTGCAGCAAAAGGAATAGCGCAGCAGACAAGACCACAAATAAAACCTGAGAAAAAACTGAGATTTCAGGGTTTCATTCTCATGTCGAGAGAACATTTTGTGAATGTCAGATAAATGCAGATATCCCATGCCCAATTCGTCTGGGGGAAAAAAATCCCTAAATTGTCGCCAATCTCTCAATTTTGAATAAGTGTTTCCATGTGTGGTGATAAAAAAAATCAAGTCAAGCAAAACTACACACGGCACATGGACTGATTTTACTCACAAACATCACCTGGTTAGACGAGATAAAACATGACTTTGAAGTTACCAAACATGGCGAAGGAGGTGCACACTTCTGTCATCTTGCTTTTGTGTCATATTCAACAAGCAATACTTTGTTTGTCTTGGAGATTCAGATCAAGACAATCCAACGTGTTTCAAAGCCTGGATTTATGATCCATTTCGTTCTGACATCCTTCTGATCAGACCAGAGAACTCAAAACACACCACACAAGGTAATGTAAGATAAAAACATCTTTGGAGCCATCACGGTATCATGTGTGTGTGAACTGAGCTTCAGGTACATAAACGTATTTAAAACTTTCAGCATATTAATGAAGGAAAAGGTTTGTGAAGACAATAATACTCTCTTAATAACAGACTGACACAACCTTTAGTCTATTATATAACTTTTGCAATGATCCAAACCATCTTAAGACACCTTGAGACTTTAGGTTTTAATTTACAAGAACAAATAAAATCTTTGTACACATTTTGTTTTACGATGTTCACCAGGAAAAAAAAATCTGTCAATTTAAGTAATTTTTATCCCTTTAGCCACAGTTTAGCTCACATCCCTTCAGGTCACCAGCAATCCCTGAGAATTCATTAAACATTCATGCCCGGGTAATCTCAGCTGATTCATTGAACTCTGTTATGGTGATTAGCTCGGTGGAACGCTATCATTGCTGCGTTATTGCTTCCAGTGTCCCAGGTGAGAACCAGTAGCTATTAAACTGATCCATATTTAATGTCACGTTACATATTTAACAATGGCATGATCAGCCATGCATGGAGGCACGATGGATCGTGTCATGAAGACAAATAAGGGTGGGACAAAAAAAGGAATTCTAGGCAGGGACTTTAAATAGATCCACGATAAGTCATAATAAAATATAAGAACTTTTCAATGATTCAAACTTGCTGTAAGTGCAAGCTGTGGCCACGCCACGAGGAATTAAACATTTATCATTTCTGAACATAACATTTATTTGGCAGGCTAATGTTGTTTTGGTGTAGTGAGTATTGTTTTCAATGTGCATTCGGTCCTTGAAACAAATCTCCCAGTCAGTTTTCTCACACATATAGAGCGACTATGTGAGTTTCGCTCAAATGACAGGAAGCGGGAGGTGCTCACCCTGCCATGACGATAAAGAAATCCAGCCTGTTCCACGTGTCTCCGAGGTAACAGCGTCGACCAAAAATCCCCAAAGCGACCATCTTTATAACCATCTCCAGAGCGAAGAAGATGTAGATGAATGCATCAAAGGCCTGTCAGAAACATAAAGAGAGATGAAATCTGCAGGATAAAGGAAGAAAATGGCACCACTTCCTCTGCACTTTGCACTGACAAGCTCAAAAATATAAATTTTGAGAGGAATCAAAACAGCTTTGCAGGTTAAAGCAACAACATCAGTTTTTTATTTCCTTTATGAAAATGGGGCAATAAAGAATCTGAGGGTATCAATAGGTTTGAGATGCTGGGGTAGCAATACTTAAAAAAAGAAAAGCAAGACTGTTAATTTGGAAGATTTGGTTAGTAAAAAGATTAAGCTTTTTTAATAATCTTTTATTTTATTTTTTTTACTGAGGCTGTAGAAGCTGGGATTACCTCCCAGGATGAACTTAATTAATAATTTTTCCCGCACATGGATGCTTCCAAATTTACAAATAAACATGTCTTTATTTCCTGAAGCATCCAAATTTAAAATGACTATAAATATAATTGTTATTCGTTTCAAAATCATCTTTATTTTTGTACCACTTCAACATATTTAACTACTGGCTGCAAACAACTTGAGTATGTAGAGGTCAAATCATTCATGCATTCTTTATTTGTTTATGTTCAGAAAAAAATTTTTTCAACATTTTTTACAGTTTTTTTAGATTTATTGATCCACACATTCCCAGCATTTTCTGTTCAGCTCACTGAGTGTTGTTAGTAACTTAAAGGCATTTTATTGTGATAAAAAAGTGTTTTTCCCCAAAAATAAAAGAAATTGTATTAATATTATTAAAACCTAGCTAATCTGAGCAAAGCAAAGACAACAATGTATTTTTACTGTCTGAAAGACCAAGTACACTCCTTTGTTCAATGCATCCACAGAAGTCTGTATATATGCCTTGGAAGATGATCTCTGCAGAAAAAATGCTCTCACGATCTTGTTTCAGGAACTAGAAGTTAGCCATAACAGACGTGAGCGGAACTCGGAGGGTTTTGGAGTCTTATTTCCTGATATCCAGAGATCTTGCCTCTGATTGGCTAAGAGCAACATTTCTCAACAACTGATTCTGTTTGCTTTGCAAAGTTGATGTTTTATCTCCACAAAGGAGTTCTATTTCGTCTAGTCTTAGCCCTTAAGCTAGCTGCTATTGGAAGGATGATCCCCGCATCAGCCAATCATGAAGAGCTAAAATGTACGCCCACCAATAGTGGGCCCCCTCGTGGTATATAACCGCAGTGACCCCACTGCTCACCTCCTTTTTCTCTTCATGCCAAGCTTGAGAGCTTTATTAAAGAGCAAATATTATCCTAAAGAGCAAAATTATCCGAAGACGACTTACCAGCCATGTCCAGCGACGCCAGACCCTGCCCGACCTGCCAGACGGGCTCCATCTCCAGAGGCGACCTGCACGCTAAGTGTGAGGTCTGTCTCGGGGCTCACCACTGCTGGCCTGGCCTTGACCCCGCAGGCCTCGTGCCCGTTCTGTGCCGCTCTGCCCGTGGCAGAGAAGATTTGCCGGGTCGAGTACTTCACTCCCGCCGCCGACGAAGAATTTCCGGGGGCTGACTCGTACCCGCTGGACAAGACTTTGGATTTCTTCGACGCCGGTCAGAAGCCGGCTGGCTTCAACCGGCTGGATGACGTTACCGACAGTGAGAACTACGATGAGGCGGAATCCCTCCTAGACATAACGGAGGTCGACGAGCTTCGCTCAGCGGGTCTTCTGCCCCAGTGGCTTCCCGCTCCTCCCTGCCAGCCGTAAGAGCACTGCTCCAGGAGCTGCCCGCCATCATTTCTGCGTCAGCAGCCCGCAAGGGGCTAGCTGTGCCAGAACCGGCCCCGCCTGAAGCGGATGATTTGGCGGGAATTTTCGGGGCGACTCAGACACGCTGTCCAGACCCTGTCTGGCCGCGCTTCCCCGCTGCTATGAGCTGCTGGTCTGCCGCCTTCTCCGAGCCTGCCAAGCTCAAGGCGCCAGTCTCCACGTATGCGCCCATCACCAAGGTCGAGGGGTTTTCCGACCAAGGCTGGCCGTCCGTTCCTCCGCTAGAGCCGGACTTGGCCTCGCTGTTCGGCGCCAAGAACCACCTCGCTGGCCCGCGAGCTGTTCCCGCTTCAAAACATAACCAGCTGCTGACGCGGCTCACCGACCGCACACATCAGTGTGCCTTTCAGACCGGCGCTGCAGGGAATAACATCGCCCTACTTGCCTTCGGCGTCTCAAAGATGATGGAGGAGCTGGAAGCTCCCGAGGAGTCGAAAGCCGTCATTACTAAGACTGCTGATGCTATCCTCAATCTGTGTGCTGCTGTGCTCACCAGTTCTGCTCGCATCGCTGCCTGGCAGACCCTCATCCAGCGAGCGATCTGGCTGAAGGCCCTGCCCTCCATTCCGGAACATCTGCAAAGGGAGATGCTAGACGGCCCCATCACCACCGATGTTCTGTTTGGTCCCCATCTTAGGGGCGTCATTGAGCAGGCTCAGAAGACGGCCGAACTATCGGCTACGGTGCAAGACCTGGTCCACCCTCAGTCAGCCTCACACTCCGGCCATTCAGCCAGAGGATGGGATGAACGGCGCGGAAGCTTCAGACGTCCAGCTGCACCGCCCTCTCCACGGAGCCGGCCTCCCGCTTCGGCTCCACATCAGCGGGACCAGCGAGATGGCGGACAACGGTTCCGGCGGGGCCAGCAGACGCCGTCTTGGCAGTCCCAAGTGCAGGAGCCTCGCCGAAAGCATCCACGGAAGTGACTCTTTGGGGGGAATGTGTGTGTTACTGATTGTTCTGATGTTGTTGTTGCTTTTGAAGTAAAACCCAAAAAACGTCACTCAAAGAGCACAATCCTACAGTCCTCCGCAAAATCCTCTGCCGAGTTCTCACACATGTTCCCCACACCAAGCACTGCTGCACGCACACATGTTCCTGCAGGTACAGGTAGTCATAATACACGGCCAGCCGTAAGGGTGCGCTCCATTTGTGCTCCGGCCCCAGCATCCGGCCAGGCCCAACTCTTCCCGCTCTCCCCACGCCGTTGGGTAGGGCGGGATGTCAGGTCGCTGTCTCGACCACGCGCGGCCCCATCCGCTGGCACTCTGTCGCCCCCTTGCACGGGCCCGGCTCCCACTCGTCCTTCACTCTCGGACTCCACGCTCCGCGGTGTGGACCAGCCTGTTCCAGCTGTTTCGCACTCGCCCTTTCGAGCGCAGCCCTCCATGGGTCGCCCCCAGTTCTCTGGTACGGGCGACGGCGGTAAGGGCGCATGCACAACCCTCAGACGTTGTTCACGTGACCGCGCACATGCGTCCACTGTCGGAACGCGCGCACGAGTGGCGCCGCCTTTGCATCATGAGCAAATGGATTTCGGACACCATTCATTGCGGTCACACACTTCATTTTCAGGCCACTCCACCTCCCTTCAACGGGATCGTGGAGACGACGTTCACATCGCAAGTACAGTCTCAGGCCCTAGAGCTGGAGCTGCGGGAACTTCTGTCCAAGGACGCTATTTCCCGAGTCCCTCGCGGACAAGAACTCTCGGGCTTCTACTCCCGCTACTTCGTAGTACCGAAGAAGTCGGGAGGAATGAGGCCGATTCTCGACCTGTCCCTGTTCAACTGCTCCATAGCAGTAATGCATTTCCGCATGTTAACGATGAGACAAGTCCTGGAATACGTGCGCCCCGGGGATTGGTTCACGTCAATCGACCTGAAAGACGCATACTTCCACATACCAGTAGTTCCAAACCACCGGAAGTTTCTGCGTTTTTCGTTCAAGGGAGTTCAATATCAGTTCAATCGCCTCCCTTTCGGCTACTCGCTAGCCCCGCGCACCTTCTCCAAATGTCTGGAGACCGCGCTGCAGCCACTGCGCACGGAGGGAATGAGGGTCTTATTTTACTGGACGATTTTCTCCTGTGCGCTCGGTCCAAGGACGAGGCGTCACAGCAAACCAGGAAGCCCTAGGGTTTTCTATAAACTGGGAGAAGAGCTCCATCCTTCCGTCCCAGTCGATTGTGTATCTCGGGGTGGAGCTGAACGCCTCCCTAATGAGAGCACGTTTATCGCCTGCAAGAGCGGCAGATCTCTCCACGGTGATCTCCCGTGTACAACCCCGCAAGATCGTGAGAGCCCTGTTAGTCATGAAACTCCTGGGCATGGTGTCCGCAGCCCATTCGGTGGTACCGCTAGGTTTGCTGCGCACGAGGCGCTTGCAATGCTGGTTCACCCGCCTCCGGGTACACCCGATACGTCAGAAGAGACGTATGTTGAGGATTCCCCCTTCAGTGGGCGGGGACCTTGCTCACTGGGGGAACCACTGCATCCTCTCACGCGGGGTTCCCATCGGACGTCCTGCGTCACACGTATCTGTGTTTACGGATGCGTCACTGTCGGGGTGGGGGGGCACGTGCTTGTCCCATACAGTGGCAGATCGCTGGCCCTCCCACACGCATGAGCACATAAATGTGTTGGAGCTTATGACAGTGAGGAATGTGATCAGACACTTCGCTGCCCTTCTCGAGGGCCGTCATGTCGAAGTTCACACAGATAACCAGGTGGCGGCAGCCTACATAAATCGCCAAGGGGGAGTTCGATCCCTCCCACTGTTGCGTGTCGCCACAGATTTACTGTGTTGGACACATGTCCACCTGCTGTCCATCAGAGCCATCTACATTCCGGGGGTACTGAATGTAGCGGCAGACATCCTGTCGAGAGGGGGACCCCGCGACTCCGACTGGCGTCTGCATCCTGCACTGATATCACAGATCTGGATCAGGTTCGGGGAACCGTCTGTGGATCTGTTCGCGGCTCGCGAAAACGCTCAGTGTTGCCTGTGGTTTTCCCTGAGTCCCCGGGACGGACCCCCGCTCGGGGCGGACGCCTTCTCACACCAGCCCTGGCCTCGAACGCTCCTTTATGCGTTTCCACCAGTCCCTCTGATTCCCCGTCTCCTGGACCGAATTCGGTCGGAACAGCTCTCGGTGATTCTGGTGGCTCCCAGACGCTTGTCCGCGTCATGGTTTCCGGACCTGCAAGCGCTAGTGTCCG